GAATGGCCCCTGGAAGTTCGCGCGCCCTTCTTCGCAAGATCGTGCCCCAGAATCCAGACCACGAGGGTTCGGATACGGATATGGCCGCCGCTCATGAGGTTCGGGGTCCGTTCGCATAGTCTCGAACGTCTTGGTGTTTGGCAGCTGTCTCCTCCTCACGGTCGGTGCTCTGCCTGGCGTGTCGCCGACGTCCGGGCATTGAGCGCGGAAGGCGCATCTCGGTAACCAGCGGCCTTCAACCCGACCGCTTTCAGTGGTAGGTGAATGGCGCGCCGCTCTCAGCTGCAGGCCGATGGCTTGCTTCGGTGCCAGCGTGCCGTGGAAAATATCGAGCACCACTGCCGTGGTTCGCTGTGCATAGTTTCTGCGCTCTGCCCCTTTTTCTCGCCGTGTGCTTGCTTGGATTCCAGCGTGGCGAGGGCCGCGTCGAGCACTACTGCCGTGGTGCGACGCGCATTGTTTCACGTTTGCTTGTTATCCCTTTTTTATTGTTCTCTCTCTCTCTCTTTGTCTCTCTCTCTCTCTCTCGCTCGCTCTCTGTCTCTCTGTTCTCTCTCTCTCTCTCTCTCTACCGCTCTCTCTCTCTCTCTATATATCTCTCTTTCTTTCTCTCTCTCTCTCGTTCTAAATACGTATGCATGTAGGTGTGTATGTATGTAGGTATGTCTGTCTGTCTGTCTGTCTGTCTGTCTGTCTGTCTGTCTGTCTGTCTGTCTGTCTGTCTGTATGTATCGACGTATGAGTGTGTATGTATGTATGTTTGTATGTAGGTTTGTAGGTACGTATGTATGTATGTGTGTACGTGTGTCTGTCTGTTTGTCTGTATGTGTGCGTGCATGTTATCCAAATAGGCTTGCCCTATAGGAGTTCTACCTCAAACCCTACTAAGTGGTCCGTTGCCCCCCAAATTCCCATGCACCCCCCCCTTATTCCTATGGCTATGCCTATGCCTATGCCTATGCCTATGCCTCCCCCTAGCTCCTATGCCTACGTCTATGCCTATGCCTATGCCTATGCTCGCTTGCGCTTGCTTGCTTCCGCTTGCTTGTTTGCGCTTGCTTGATTTTGCTCGTCCCGTCATCCTCCCGTCCTGCTCCCGTCCGCCTTTCGTCCTCCTCCCATCCTCCTCTCGTCCTCCTCCGGTCCTCCTATCTATTTGGAGTCAACGCTGGCTGATACATGCATGCATGCATGCATGGATGCATGTCTGTCTGTCTGTCTGTCTGTCTGTCTGTCTGTCTGTCTGTCTGTCTGTCTGTATGTATGTATGTATGTATGTATGTATGTATGTATGTATGGTTGTATGGTTGTATGGTTGTATGGTTGTATGGTTGTATGGTTGTATGTATGTTTGCGTGCGTGTGTACAAGGATGTGCTCATGTGTATACATATATATATATATACATGTACAGATGTGTATACGTATCCGGGCCGCGCCTGCCGCCCGGAGCACAAAGAAGCCGGCGTGATTCCTGAACCTCGGCCGCGGTGCGGTGGAGGGCTGTGGTGCGTGGCCGAGGCCGCGGGGGCTCCTCATGCTGCATGCTGCGGGAGGGCGCCCGCGGGCATATCGCCTCGGCGTCGCTGCTCCGCGCGGCACCCTGCTGGCAGCGCGGGCGACAGGCTTGGCAGGCCGTCGAGTCCTCCCTCCGTGTTGTCTCTCCTCCTCTGTGCCGTCCGCTGCGAGGTATGGTCTTCTTTGGGCTTCGCGGCAGGTTCGCCATCGGTGCGGTGCTTTGTCGGCCGTTCGTGGTCACGCACGGCGTGCCTGATCGCGCGTTCGTTTTGCCGTCTTTTCTCTGCCTCCGCGTCCAGTTCCTTCCGCTCTCATTTTCTCCCCTTGATGTCCCATGTCACGAGCACCCGAGGTGGCACATTTCTGCTTCTCTTTGGGCTAGGGCGGTGTAGGAAATCCCCAGCCCGTGTGACTGCTGACTTATCCTCTTGCACTGTTTTGTTGCCTTGTGCGTTTGTATGTGGCAGTATGGGCACGTTGTGGGTTTGTCGCGCAAAGTCACTGCCCGCTTTCGGGTCGTTCCAGGGGAACTCAATGAATCACCAGCCATCTGTTGACTCTCATTTCTTCCCTCTTCATCCTCCTCTTCCTCATCCCCCTTGTCCCCGCGCGTCGTGGTGTCGTTCTGTGGGCGCTGGCTCGCAGGGCGTCCAGGGCGCCATTTTGTTGTCGTTTTCCTATCGCGGACCGTTTCGTGTGGCGTTCAATTGGCCTGGCGACCTCTAGGGTCACACCGTGGTCGCAGCCGCGCTGCGTCGGAATCCGGTGGTTGCGTTCCGCCTCCCCCCCCTCCTCCTTGCAAGGAGAGGTATGTGTGGCCCCTTCGCGCACATCTCCTTCTCTCTCTCTCTATCTCTATCTCTCTCTATCTCTCTCTCTCCTTCTCCTCCTTCTCTCTCTATATCTCTTCGTGCTCTCCCCTGCCCCGCCTCGACCGACCCCCGAAGGCCACGGGGCCCGTCGCCCGCCCCGGCCCTGCGCAGGTCGTGACGTTCCTCCGGAGGGAGTCCTTCGAGCTGCGGGTGGAGTACGCGGACGACAAGACCTTGATGCCCGGCATGGCGAAGGAGCCGCGGTGTCAACGGCACCGTAACGGGTACTTACTAACGGGTACTTTGGAAAGTTGCCGAAAGTGGCCATTTTAGGGCCTCTTTCTGGCATTGCAGCGCTGCCCACGTCGGGGAGGGTGGGGTTCGCTGGGTCACTGGCCAAAGTACCCGTTAGTGGAGTCCCCGTTAGAGGGGCGTTGAGCGGTGTCGTGTCGGGCCGAGCGAAAGGGGAGAGAGGGAAAGGAGGGGTACGAAATCTGCTGCATGCAGATGGTTTCGGCCCCGCCGCCGGGCCCATTCCTCTATACATCGGCGCCTCCCGGCGCCGGGAAAATCAGCTACGTGAGCTGATTCTCACCCCCCCCCCCTTTGGTATCCCCCCCTTTCGCCCGGCCCGATCATGGCGCCAACCTCGCAGAGCGGATTTCGTTCGGAAAAGGATGGGATAGGCCCCGAGTGTCCTGGAGAATGTCGTTCTGGTTAGCGAGGTGCATTGCGTGTGGATTTTTGAAGCCAGGAGTGAAGGCAATTTTACACCCACGCGAAATTCACTTCGTTTTTCACTCGCCGCTTCGGGCAAAGTCCACGCAGAAATCCATGCAAAAGTCCGCTGCAGCACCTCTGCAAGGTCGGTGCAGTGAGCGGTGCAGGCAGGGATGAGCAGCGTGGCTCGCAAGGAGGTTCTTCTGATGCGCTCGGGGGTTGTTGAGCGCGTTTGGCCCTCAGTTGCCTCGTTGGAAGTGCGGAGGCCTCTGGAGGCCTCTGGACAAACCCCCCCGCGGAGACCTCCGCGGGGATCGTATCCCCAGAGGGGCCTGCGCGCGAAGGACCCCCGCGGAGACCTCCGGAGGCCAGCCTGGAGAGGGTGAGGAGCAGCAGGTGCAGCGGCGCGGCGGAGAGGCACGCGCCGGGCGGGCTTCCGTGGCCGTTCGGGGCACCCGGCCTGACCGCGCAAGAAGCCACCGTTCCCGGAAGGTCTGGACGCCTGCTGCCCACCTGGCAGGTCGGGGTGGTTAGATTTTAGGGGTCAAGTCGGGCATGTCCTCAGGAGGGATGCTCAAGTCTAGTCAAAAATAGTTCGGCGACGACTTCTCGTGCTCTTTTGATTCTAGTTGAATATTGTTCGACTGTTCTTCATTTTTCTTCCCAAGGCCGCCTGCAGGAGGACATGCCCGACCTGGCTGTAAGTCCCCCCCTGCACACCGTGGCCGCCAGACCCCGAGGTCCTCCGAGGATCCCCAGAGACCCCCGCCTCGCGCCGACCCGCCCACTCTGCATGCCGCGGCCTCCAGAGCCTCGGGTCCACCGAGGATCCTCCTGAGACCCCCGCCGCGCCCCTTCGACGAGCACGGCAGGACCTGGCAGAACTGCGCAGAGCACCACACGTCATCACAGAACAGAGCACAGCACAGCATAGCACACAGTAGTTGAGCATACTTCTCCCGTACTGGAACAGGACAGAGGATACCACAATTCATCACATGACCGATCATTGGACACCATGAAGAATGCATACCACTTCAGAGCGCCGCACAACATATACAGCACCCCGCAGTTGCGGATAAGAGTGAGGGGGCGTGAGCGGGGAAGGTCGCGGGTGGGTCGCGGGCGGGTCCACCGCGAGGACGACGGCAACAACAACAATAATATGTTTAAGATTGTTCGCCTTTATCTGCTCGAGTGTCCAATAACTCGTATTCCCCAAACTCTCGAGACCCGCCTTTTTCGTCTTCGATCGAACCCTTTTCGGGTGTATACCTTTCTTCCCTGCAGGCCGGGCCCCGGCAAGCGGCGGGGCGGCCGCGGACCGTCGGCCTGGCCAGCGGCAGCGCTGATCGGCGGGGCGGCCGCGGACCGTCGACCCGACCCCATTAGGGACGGACAGGGGACCACAACAACCACCACAAGGAGCAGGATGACGAGGACCGGCAGCAGCGGGATCTCACACCTCGCGACGGCGAGCAGCGGTCTGACACGGACATCCAGAAATGGGATCAGCAGCACGTCGAGAGGCTGGGCAGCAAGGACTGGCAACAGCAGGACCCCCGGCCGCATGACGGCGAGCAGCAACTCGACCTAGACATCCAGGAAAGGGACCAGCAGCATGTCGAGGAGCAGCGGGGTGAGGACCGGCAGCAGCGGGACCTGAAGCCGCACGACGACGAGGGCTCCAGCCACGATTCGGCCATTCTCGCAGGACGTCCGACACCCGAGCCGGCGGAAACCGTGACAGCAGCTTCGGCCACGACCGCCGGTTCCGATTCCGGATCCTATATTGGGTCCGGCACCGCCGCCAGCAGCATCGACGCCAGCACCGACTCCGGCACCAACGCCAGCAGCATCAACGCCCACACAGCCGCCGGCTTCGACTTAGGCGCCGACACCAGCGGCATCCACGCCAACGCCGACTCAGCAACCGACTCCAGCAGCATCGAAACCGGCACCGACGCCGGCCCCAAATCCTACATCAACACCGGCAGCACCAAGCACCAATCCCACCACGACAAATCCGACTCCAGCCATCTCCACCGTGACACTCACGGCGGCCAGGCCTACGACAGCTCCGTCGACCAGGACACCATTAGCTCCAGAGCCGACGGGCCTCGCGCAGCGACAGAGACCGTTACCGCAGCTTCAGATCTACATATATTTGTGGACGTACAAGACCAGAAGCCCATCAACCTGGACATCGCGGCCGATGCCATGGTCAACTCCCTCCAGGACATGGTCCATGACAAGGTGGGTATCCCCCCGGACCGGCAGCGTCTTATCTATGGTGGGAGGCAGATGCTTATGGGCCATAGGCTGTCGGACTACAAGGTTGCGAACGAGTCGATGGTGTACCTGACGCTCAGCCTCGGCGGGGGCATGGACAACGCCGACCAAGAGGGAATGGAGGAGGACACGGGGCTGACACAGGCCGCGGTTACGCTATCGCTGGCAGCAGCTGTACCCGCGCCCCCGGGAGTTCTCCCCAGGGACGCAACACCGCCAGGTGCCGCACCGCCCGGCCTTCCTGGGACACCGCCAGCGCCAGCACCAACTTCCATGTCGGCGCTGTTGCTCAGCATGCTCGAGGACCACATCACACTGCACGCCGACAACATGGCGGCGGGGAGGGCCGTGGCCAGAAATCTGGAATCCTGGGATCCATTGAACACGCTGCGATCGTTCGAGGACGTCCTGGCCGGGTTCCGCATGCTCGGTTTCCAGATGGACAACCCCCTACCGTTGGAAAAACTCGGTCTCTGCTGGGAGGAGGGCCCCCTACCAGACGAGAGCACCATTGAGTCGCAGGTGCGACTGGCCAGCCATCTACTACATGCCGTGGCTACTCAGCGGAATGACCCTCATGATATACGCGCCAAGTGCATCGAACTCGTGGAGCGGCTGGAAGACGCGGGCCGGCAATGCTGGCAGCTGCTTCCGGCTGTCCGGAAATCACGGCGACGACGGGCCAAGACCACCATCGACAGATATCACGAAGTGGAGCTCCCCTTCCTCAACTTCTTGCAGAACGAGTTCGACGACGCCGTGGAGGAGCTCGTGGTCACGCAACTCTCCAACCAGCAAGGGCTAAGCTTGGCCACTTTGGACTGCCCGCCACTCACGGCGCGTCTCCTCCATGAGCAGGCGGCCAAGGACCCGTCGACTGGGGCGGCAACGTTTCTCGAGTCCGGGACCCACCACCAGCTGGATATGCTGGGCCCCGGACGACGCCACGAGCACGGGCAGGTGGGTTTCGCTCTTCCGGGCAATCCGGGAGGAGAATAGCACGGCCCAGCTGTCGTTCCTGATATCTCGGTCTGTTTTGCCAGGGCGCCTCTCGCCAGAGGAGGTGTTGGATTTTTGGTCACCTCATCTGCTGCAGGGAGAGGGGGGCAGGCGGGTGGAATCCTTGACTCTTCTGGAGCCTCCCGTCCGCGTGCTCACCGAGGGCCAGCTTGGCCCCAGGCTCTCGGAACAGCACCTCGCCATCATCACCCTCGGCAGCACCACCGATGCTCTGCCGACGCCCACCGTCAAGCACTGGATGGGGAACGGGGCCCGCAGCTTGGAGGAAGAGGCCATCATCATCGATTTTCCGAAGGAGTGCGAGGACGGACTATTGCGGATGATCCGCACCATGGTAGTCAACGAGGTCACTTCGTGGAGTCGGCCGATGACGAGCCCTAGTGACAAAGACGGCCGGAAAGTGCTATACGGGTACACGCAAACATGCTCAGCTTCCGCGCTGACTGCATTACAGGTGACCTTACTAGTGCGAGACCTCCGAGCTCGACTACGAAACTTCGCGGGCGTGGCTTTTGGACACACGACGTTGATGCACGATCCGGCGGCTCTGATCGTGGACTTCACTGGCTCGGAGGCGGTAGCGTCTCTTCCAGACCACTGGGACCAGCTGATCCTCCTTTCTACAAAGAAGGGGGTGCTGGTTACGTCGACCTCTGCCTCGACCTGGGAACGCATTCTTACCGAACAGGCTTCGGCTCAGCGGGAGGCAAGGGTCACGAAATTGTCTTGGCGACGCAGCGCGCGGGGAGGCAGGATATGGGTCGTGCCTCTGGAGCTGTCCAACACCGCGAGGGCCAATCTTCAAGGTGACTGGAGCGGGCTGACGGGCCCCTCACGCTGCACCGTCCACATCCAGGTCAAGGGGGGCACCAGCGCGGAGCCCGGCCCGATCCTGCGCCAGCTGACTGCTCAGTTATCGCAGTGTTCAGGGGTCCAGTGGACTGCGGCGGCGCAAGGACAATTTCCGCGGCCGGGCCAACTCGCGCCAGTCACCGGGGAGCGCGGGCACTGGGATGGAGGCTTCGTGGCTGAGACCGCTAACCCAACGCAGACCCAGGCGATTGCGAAGCTGCTCAACGGGATGTGCTTCGCCGGAGTGGCGGGGTCGCACCGGCTGGCCGTGAACCTCCACGATTCTGACAGCCATGGGAATAGCGAGCGCCAGGGAAACCGGCCCCGGAGACGATGATCGGCCTTTCGTTCTCCGGGCCCGATGGCCGCGCTGGACCGGGGATGATATGGGGGCTGCAAGGCCTGCCCTTGCCCCGGGCCGAATGCATGTGCACAGTATTCGACGCAGAGTTTGATGCGCTGGTTCCGGGGGCCAGGCTGCCGTTCTCATCGGCGCCACGGGGGGCTCCGCCTCCCTGCCCCGAGCGTTTGTTACCGCGTGCGCCCCCCCTGGCGCGCGGAACACAATGACGAATTTAACTCATGTTTACTTGGGAATACGCGTCTTCTTCCTGCGCCGCCCTCTATTTCTTTTATGAGGCCAACTCCGACGACGACGACGTCGACATGTACTCATTCCTCCATTTCTGCACCCTCGCCATCTTCGGCGTTTTCGGTGGATGCGGGCACGGGGAGCAATGCCAGGACTACTATTTTGCACCATCGGCATTCATCCGGCACCTGATCTTCATCTTCCCCAACCTCTCCAGCTACCAGCACAGGCTTGCAGAACAGGATCAACGCCCGCCCGCGGGCCGTCGACGGCGCGCAGACCGACGAGCCATGGAGACACGAGCTGCCCATTCGACCTCGACGCACAGCACGGGCAGGGAGTTCTTCGGGCGCGCATCCATGTCCACCCGCCCTCCCAGAACCCGACCACGTGGGAGGTAGGCCACCTGTTCCCGAACATAGTTTACATCTTTCACTTCCACAAGTCGATCTCCAACCTCCACCAGCTCAGCACTCCGACCTCCTGCCCCCACCAGCTCAACATTCCGACCGCCAGTATCCTGCGTCCGACCGCCCACCTCCGTCTCCACACATCGACGCCCAGCCTCCACCTGCTCAACATTCCGGCCCCCAGACCCCAGCGGCTGACTTTCCACCTCCACCTCCCCCTATCACATTCCAGTCTCCACCAGCTCAGCACTCCGCCCTCCAGCTCAGCACCCCGACCTCCAGCATCCAGCACCCAGCGCTCCGACCTCCACCAACTCTGGACTCCGACCCACAGCATCCAGCATCCGACCGCCCACCTCCACCTCCACCCAGCGACCTCCAGCACACACCACCTCATTACTTCGACATTCGACCTCTAGCAGCCGACTTTCCACCCCCACCTCCACCCATCGACGTCCAACCTCCACCAATTCAGCATCCCGACCTCCAGCCTCCACCAGCCGACTTTTCACTTCCACCTCACCCTATCGACGTCCATCCTCCACCAGCGCAGCACTCCAACCCCGAGCTCAGCACCCCGGCATCCAGCAGCCAGCTTCCAGCACCCCGACCTCCACCAGCCCAGGACTCCGACCTCCGGCATCCAGCATCCGACCGTCCACCTCCACCTCCACGACGGGACCCAGCAACACCATCAGCAGCATCAGCACATCGCGCAGCCGCACAGAGCTCAACACGATGGGACCTAGCAGCACCATCGGCGGCAGCAGCATCAACACATCGATCGGCACCGCAGATTCCGGCACGACGGGTGCCGGCAGTACCCGTACCATCGGCACCTGCAGCAGCATCAGCACATTCAGCAGAACTCCAGCCTACATCCTCCGACTCTCCACCTTCACAGTCTCCCCCACCAGCTCAGGACCTCGACCGGCCAATTGCGGAGGCCAGGAGTCCGAGCACGCAGCCAGGCGCTCCCGGAGTTCCGGAGGGGCATAGCCTTTCTAATCGGACGCCTTCCTCTCCGCCGACCCGCCGTAGAGCCGCTCGACCTCCTGGGTGTGGCGCGCCTTATGCGGGCAGCTACAAGGGGGCGACCTGGAACGCACAGGGCCTTCTGGCATACGAACTATCTATCTCGGCAACATCCGAAGTGCCAGTATCTACGACGACTAGCATCTCAACACGATGTCGCGGGGTCCATCTTTTCCGCGCTTCCGCTCGTTCCGAATCGTGCTCCCGCTGCAGCGTTGACGTCATTTCCCGTGCCATGCCACGGCATGCAATGCAATGCTCGGTTGCGTTCCGCTGCGCGATGCCATGCCTTCAGCTGATGCTGTGATATGCAGTGCTTAAGTACCACGTCGTGCTATGCCATGCTACGCTTTGATCTTTAACGCCATGCTATGCAATGTTATGTTCGGGGCCGCTGTGCGATGCCATGCTTTGCGTTGCAAAGCTTTGTGATGCAATTCTTCACTACGCCAGGCCACGCCATTCTGTGACATACTACGCTTTGCGGTGCTCTTCTACGCCATGCCATGCCGTGCTCTACAATGCATCGCGTACCCTTTCGGGATCATTGCCCTGCTCGACATACGACTATGCGAGTAGAGAGGGGGTCTACGCCATGGTAAGGGATGGGAGGGAGGGGTAGGATGTCAGATATGACGCGGGCGCACCTAGCTTGTCCTCCTTTCCTCCTCTTCCTCCTCCTCCTCCTCATCCTCATCCTCATCCTCATCCTCATCCTCCTCCTTCTCATCCTCATATATTTCCTCCTCC